GTATGGAATCTAGTCTGGCACATATTACTGAAAACCAGAGCAGGTAAACAATTATTCCTTATATAAGCTTTGCATAGCTTAAAATCATTTTACAAATTTAGTATGAAGTCATGGCACTTCAGGTTGGTTTGTTAGGGTTCCTCTCAGGAAGCTCAGCTCACGGCATACCAGGGCCAAGGGGGAGGGCGGGAATGCTCTGCCTGCCCCACTGCGACCCACACGCAGGCCTACACAAGCTGGCAAACCCATGCCAGGGATGCAAAATAATACTCAAATAGGAACCTTGGTTGCTTCTCAAAGGCACATGACCATAAAACGACAGTGTGGTAACTGCAAAATATCAGAGAAATTAGCTAATTCGCCAGGCTTGTGTCCACATGTGCAGAAGACGGTACAGTAACATCAGTTAATTAAGGCCAGAAAAAGGCTCACTTGATTTTTCCTTTGCAACCATGTTGTTACTCGTATCTAGACTCTCAAAGCTGTGCCTTTCGGGGTCTCCTCTCTGCCCTAGTACCGTCTGATAGCAGAGAGCAAATACAGGGCAATGTTCTAGTTTCGTTACAATCTGACCACAGCTGACAAAACCACTGGCTCAAACATCTATCTGGAAGCTTATTAAACAACTGACGTTATTTTAAACACACGCGCACACGTGCACACCTTTTGATACAACTAGCATGCTGCACCTCTAAGTGCAGAGCCCTCAGTCCTCTGCAAGATGCCAAGCCTTTCCCCTCAAGTGGATGCTACCTCTTGGCTCCCACCAGGTTCAAGAGGAATTTAATTCATTCCTTGCACAGCATCGAAGGGAGGAAGCAAACACCTAGCATGTGGTTCAAAAAGGAATGTGCTTTATCTATTTCTTACACTGTCTCACAGAAGAGACCTACACAAGGTCCCATCTGATCAGTTATTATTAGCCGACTTTTTTTTTTTCCCCCTCTCTCCAGAGATCTTCGCAGAAGAGGAAAACAGTAACTGCTACCCAAATATTCACTGCCCTCTCCGTGAAACAACAAATGGGCAAATTTCACCGGGAGATCAGATGGAGGACGGTCTATCCCACACATAACAGACAAGCCTACAGACAAACTTCAGCGCTTATATGTATAAACTATGGTTGACTATAAAGCTCGCTGATGGTCTCTGTGGATTGTGTACGCTTTCTGTGGGGGAAAACCTCAGTCACTTCACCCGTCCTCCTTATCAGTCTAAATGAAGAACAATCACAACAGAAACTGGGATATTTCATCATCACCTCAACTGTTCTTGAGCACTAAGTATGTTAAGTGCTGCAAGACATAAAATATAATCCAAGCAAAAAACATGAAATAAAGTTCAAAGACAAATGAAAACATAAAGCTCTCCTCCTCAGTATGCAAAAGTACTCCACTTTGAAACACTTCATATACGTAAAAACAGCGATGTACGTAACACTTCTGCATTAGTGAAGCAGTTTATCCATTTGCCCAAAATAACAGGCAAACAACCTGAAGTCAGAGAGGCTACTTGACAAATTCCAACCTCATTTGAACTGCCGATAAAAATTTCTGATGCAATTAATGATGAAGTTTAAAGCAACAGCCCAAATTTTAGTTGACAATTAAAACTGGCAATCTATCGAGCAGAACAGTGGCAAAGGTTGCATGAGAGAACGGCTCGCACAGCCTGCCCGGAGCTCAGATAACGAAATACATATGTACAATACACCAATAACGTCACCATAGTTACACCCCGAAGCGGAACAGAATGAACTTACAATCTTGCATAAAAGTCACAAAACTCTTTGTAGAGTTTTATGTCACTGTGCCTACGTTGCAATTTTGACACCGGTTTCTCGCCTTCATTTCCTGCAGAGTTGTGAGCATCAGAAGTGACCTTGTACGCAACCTCTTCGTCCTCTGGGATGGGGTAAGGGTGAGCTCTGCTCTGGAAGTCCATCTCTCTCTAACTGCTTTCCTGGGTGTATATATTCTACGCTCACGCTGCAAAGAAGCTGTAGGCAAAGTCTGCAAAACAATATGCTGTACTTCCCCTTGTTCCCAGCACAGTGATTTACTTTCACGGCTCCGTGTCATGTAGCTGGAGCTACTCAGCGCCCTGCTAGAGCTTCAAGTTAAAAGTTCAGCGGCGGGGCAGTGAGCCCGTCACGCTGTGATTTACTGACGCTGGCTGTGAGCAGAAGAGCACATTCCCCTGCCAGGCCCTCATGCAAACTTAGATGCTGGAAAGGGGCTTCGCTGCCGGCTGCTGGTAGAAGCCACCCAGGAAGCTGTGGTGTAAGGAACCTATACGAGCAAATACATTCACCACCAAACTTGTCCACAGCTACTTTCTGATGAGGAGGGGTGGAGGTGGGTTCCAACAATATTTTATCATGGGCAAACCAGCAATGGTAAGCACAAAGAGAAGACCAGGTAAATATTGCTTTAATGCTACAGTATATAAATTACATTGTAAAAATGGCCTTTAATGTTCCACTCGTGTCTTCCAAGTCACATGTGCTGAATTTATCTATAGGCATCTTTCTCCTTGTCCGTACTTCAAAGAAGGGGTAGAAACAGACAGACAGTTTGGTTTCTGTTGTGCTTCACAGGCCATTAACCCAACTGGCAGGTATGTTATAATGGGCAATATATGAAGGAGGGAAAACGAAGCTTGATTTCCAGTGATGTGCTGCGTTTAGAACAATTATCTAATGTAAGAACACTTACTGAAGTAACTTACTGTGGATATTAAGGAACTGAGAGAGCAAAACCAGGAAGGAAGAATGAAAATTAATCATTCCTTCACCACCGAATGCTCTCCTAATGTTCCAAGTACTTCACGGTTATACTCTATTTAAAAAAATCTATTGCGTACTGCTTACTAGGGAAGGCAGGGTCAATTAGCTGCAGATCTGTGGCTAATAATTACACTCCTGGGAGCTCTCCCTGCTTGAAGCACAGTGATTGTGGCAGACACGGGATACTCAGCTTCCAGCAATTCGTTACTGCAGACGAAGCAGGCTTTTGGGAAGCTGTCCTGAGTAACTATCTCTTGAGTTGAACTGACTCAGCCTTGTTAGCAATCAACTGAGCTGCATGCATTTTGTGCTCATGACACATGGCACCTTGGTATCTGAAGAATCTGTCGGTCTGCGAGGGGGCATGAGAAAGCGGAGGACAGGAAGGAGACGAACAGAGGGAACAAGTAAAGAAATTAGGCCTGGAAGATGACAAAAGATAGGACAGAAAGTCTAGTCAAGGCTACTACTTCTTAATATGCCTTCACCTTCCTAAGACCTACCGCAGAGGGTCTGGTCTATGACGGTTTTGGGCTGTAGCTCTCACCGCCAGTTTGGATAGCTGGCTCAGTAAGCGTACAGTAGCACACGCCATTCTTCACGCAGGCCTGGGCTCGCACGTAGCCGTCTTCCAACAGCCTGGCCAACAGAGCACTACGCTTCTGTCGCTGCCAAATTTGAGAGACGG